CTCAGTATGGAATTCCTTGAATATCTGTAAAGAATCCTTTGCATGTGTCAGGCAGATTTTTAGCTACTGCATCTAAAAAAATACAGGTATAGGACATGGACTCAAATGCTATTTACCCAGCATAATACTGATTAAGCCATTGAGCTATTAAACCACACTGTAACTTCTCCAGCTTCTTAAGATCTATATATAAGCCTTCTTTAGGACTGAGATATATATAAAATGGTTTTAGAAGTGTTCACTGAGGTCATTTTGGCTTTCCTGTTCTACACAAAATTTGGCCCCCCATAGGTAAATAAAAGACTTCATTTTTTCATGTAATTCACACCTGCAAATACCCAATTGTAAATTGCAGAAAAATGCAAAGTGTAAAATTAATAAATAAAACTGGTTCTCCAACTACTTACAAAACCATGGAAAATCAATCCCTTGATACATCAAGTCCCAGATAATACAACTAAATTATAAAGTTACGTATACAAAAATGCATCACACCGGTATAAATATGTATGTGTCATCATAAATTAAAACCATAGAGAGAGATTAAAATATCATTTGGGGAAGGAAAAATATTCCATTACTGTAGAAGAGCATCTTGCCAGTACACTTAGGTTATATATTATTTTTTTATGTGTTATATTTCATAAAAGAAATCCCAGCAGATAGCTAATATTCTGAATCCATTCACCAACTCTATTCTTGACTATCAGAGAGCTACTGCAGTGGCAGTGAAGTAAAATCATGGCTACTGTTACTGCCTCAAGTCAGTATAAAGGATGTTGTTTGTCTTGGGTGATGTTGGAGCACCAGCAAAGCCAGCCCAAAGCCAGCCCAAGATGAGCCAGTCACCACTCCACTCCATCCAGTCTCTTCCCACTGCTGGTTCACCTCCTGCTACTCACTGGAGCTGGCACAGTTCTTTCTGTCACTGCTGCAGGGAAACAATCTGGGAGCAAAGTGCTAACTCTCACAAACCAGCCAACCTGGCAGCAGTATCAGTTCACATTATTCACTCCTCCTGTCACAGGCCTTATTTTTTCCTCCTGTGTTTCCAGTAGCTTTCTGTGGACCAGCCAAACCATCAGTGATTGATACAGCTTAGAAAAGTTAGGAGAGCTCTTCTCGTTCTTAAATCAGACCATCTGTGTCATGCTGTTTGCTCTGGAGATGTTCCTACATCCTGACACTGGCAAGAAGGATGAACTGAAACCAGAGTTACGAGAAATAATAGGGCTGTCAGTAGTCTCAACTAATATTGCAACTGAGAAGAGAACATGGGGTGTTGTACCCTGTGAGTAAAAACTAAGTAAAAAGGCATGTGTAACTGATGAAATTAATTAATTCCAGTATCAGGCTGCCTCATTCTCAAATATGCTGTCTCCTACTGTGTATTTCCAAGTCAAAGTAACCTGCTAATTGAGAAACAACAGACAGGAAAAATATGGAAGATGATGTCAGGTATCAAGCCACAGTCCATCAGGAAAATTAAAATGCAGTGTCTTTGAAATTAGTATTATCTGACAAGAAGCTGGTGATCTGTCTGGGCTGGTATGTGAGTCTGTAACACTGAGCTTGCTGCACTTGCTACAAACTTTATCCACATAAGGACTTGACAAAAACTCCTTTAAATAAAGCACTGCAGCCACCTAGCCTTGAAAATATGCAAGTGTTCGGGAACATTGATCACAGACAAGAATTAAGCAAAATCCTTCAATGCAGATCCTTCTGTAAATACTTCAGAGGCCAGTAAAACATGGATCAGTTGAAAACAATAATAGAGAAATAATCTGAATTAAGTAACAGAACAACCAAAAATCACTGAAAGGTGAAAGTGATCCATCAGTAAGTCCATCTCTCTCGAGTTCATCTTTACAAGGTTGCAGGACAGTCATTTTTACTTGGCTCATAATCAATTCTTGCTAATGCTGTGTTCTCTGGTTCTGCCTAACACTGATGAGATAAGGAACAAAAGGATCAATGCTCTCATTGTGCTTACTGGTAAACCAGTAATCTGGATAGAGGACTCAGTTCCCTGAATCCTAATGATACAAGAATTTGCTCAAGTAACCATTTAGACTGACATCAATTATGAACAAACAACAACAGAAAGATGAGAATAGGAAAACACTTTCAGTGGTAGAAAATGTGGACAGAATCAAATATAAACCTCTAATGATGCTGTATAAAAGCATTCCTCATTTTCCTCTGTGGTCGACTGCTGTGCTATTCCCAGACCTCAAATCACAAAGCAAACCTCACCTGCCTCCTCTCCAAAATTCTCCAGCTGGGCAACAATTACCAAAAAAGGGCTCTTATTTCACTGAAATTGCCTGCCCATCTGGACTCATATTCTGATTCCTGATCTTTTGAGTAGTAAAGACAGCAAAGAAACTTTAGCAGTACCCACCCACACAGTAACACAAGTTAATGGCAGACTATTCTCCCTTCTCTAAAGGAAATTTTCAATAGGTCGATCAGACTTTTGATGCTAGTTAAATACAAAAATTAATTTTTAATTTTCCACTCAGTGATAGAACTAGCTTAGAAAGAAACAGTACACACAACACATAATCAAAATTGAGATGGAAAACAAAATAGATTCAAAGACCAGACACAAAAGTACTTCTTACTTTCCAGGCACCCAGTAGCTTTAGAAATTTCTCTCTTAAGATGTATGGAAGAATTACAAGGAGATCTAGTGTGGCAGCCTATGGCACACATATATCATGAGAGTTACAGTATTTTTCTCTGATGTGCTGTCCAGTGTTGAGAACAGGCTGCTACGAAAACCTTTTGAGAATACGTGTGTATGAATCCAGCTAGATAGTCTTCTCATGGGCTGTTTTGTTATTTTTGAATTCCCTGGAAAGACTCAGACTCCTTGTTCAAGAAAAATGCATGCCATTTGAAACTCTGTCTAAGCTGAGTACACATACATTCATTTTTTAATAATCACACTTGCAGATATACATATGCTTTATATGGAAAAAAAGTCCAACCTCTTGATTACTGATATTTAATATCAATATGGTCATATTGGTAAAATACCAAATTATATTAAAAATATTGTTTTCAATCTCCATTCTTCTGCTTGCTACAGTCTAAGAAACATTCTTCAGAATAAAAATCTTGAACTTTTGATGCATCTTTATACATGAAAAGAACAGCTTTGTGCTATCCTTAGTCGTAGGAAGTGACAGGCAGAGCATGACATCACTCTTTATTTTTAACTGACTGCTTTCTGGTGAATTTATTTTGCTGTCAGTACATATTACAGCAGTGTTAATCACATTCAGGCTTTATGAAGACAGAAGCCCTGTGCTCTGTTGGTTCTACAAGCTGGGAGTTCTTAGCTTTTGAAGGAGAAACTTTGTTTCAAATTTGCCACAATAGCTGATCCGCAGATGGATCAGTAAGAATACAAATACTAAAGTACCTGTGAAAGGTCTACAACTACCAAAGGCATCCACGTGGATTTTTCCATTACAGCCACATCACACAGATTCACCACTCACAAAAGTATCAAATCCTGGACTTAAGAACACAGGTTTAGTCAGCAAGTAATTGACTACAGATATTTAATTAAACTTGTCACCTGACTTCAGCAGATTTTAACAGCTTCCTATTATCACTGTATCACTAGTCTCCTTAATTCATTCACATACAATATCTAAAATAAGACAGGGTCAGTAAGCTTATTACCAGAGAACAAAAACATGTTTCTATTCTACAGACTGTGAGAGTCTTTAAAATAAACAAATGGAGAAAATGCATCTTCCTGATTCCCAAAGAGAGCAGAAATCCAGCATACACCATGTTTATCCTGCCTTGTCTCCACTGCCTTTCTAAATCAATTTGGCTTCTCTCTAAGGAAAACACAGCCATTCATTAATCGAGCATTAAAGCACACCGTAGCCTTGAAACTATCACAATTATTATTACTAAACAATGCTACTAGTAGAAGACCAAGTTCTGAACCCCAGGTTTTGTATGCCCACAATAATAAGAAACACTAGGTAGATGAGGTAGATGCAAGGGCAGAAAAAAAGGTGTTTCCCACCAAAAAACAAACAACAAACAAACTATCCACCAAAAAAAAAAAAAAAAACCACAAGAAAAAAAAAAAACAGAAAAAAAACCCAAAACCCACAAGAATGCTGGCCTTTTCAGTGTTCTTCATTAAATTCATTAACACTCCCACTTCAGGTCACTTCATTCAGGCAACTACTATCTTGAACTAACTGGTGGCCCAGAAGGCACTAAGACTCTGCAAACAGCACATACAGAATTTAAAGCCATAGGGGAATTATTTATTGGCTAATTCACACAGCAGCTGGAACAAACGAGTCATTTATCTCTCTTGGTAAGACACCTTATCAGTCGTGGCTGAATAAAGTAGTCAACCATCAGGCTTTATTGCTTCTTGCAGCAGGACAGTAGCTCTTAACTGTTTCTGCCTCCCTTTCTCTAAGGATTCTGTATCTTTTCACACTTCACTTCTTGAATCTATGAACTGATTCCATCTCAACAATTTTGATTCTGTCGACAAATTTACCTTTCTTATCATACACGGCTTAAGGCCTTCTCAACATTTTGTCACAATTACTTTTCACAATTTTTGCAAAGTCAGAAGAAAGTTTATTTGGTTGAGCTGAAAAACGAGGGTCTACACCCTGAAAGCGTTGTGTAGCCTACAAATTCCCAACACTACTTGGGAACTGTCCCTCGCTTCAGTTCCGACCCGTGCGTATCGCCGCCGACACACAAACAGCCACAGTCACGACATGACGTGTCCGGGGGCTCAGGCTGCAAAGGAAACTGTGGGGCAGCCCATGGCTTGGCGAGGCTCCCGACGGGAGCCGCCCGGGCCGGGGCTCGGCTCACGCCCGCCTTTAGAAAAGGCACGGCAGGACCGCCGCCGCCGCTTGTATGCTCGCTTGTGTGCCCGCGGCACTCGGTTCATTCCCTTCCGGGGCACCCGCCGGTGACCGCCCCTGCCCGGCGTGCCCCGTGCGCAGGCGTGGCTGGCGGCGGCGATGGGCGGGCGGGTGACCCGCGTGTTCCGGAATTTCAACGTGGAGAACCGGGCCCGCCGCGAGATCAGCAAGGAGAAGCCCACGCCCGCGCCGCGGCACCGCACCGCCCGGCTGGACGCCATGGCCGGTGAGTGCCGGCCTCGCCCGCCCGCCGCTCCCGGTGCGGCGCCGCGCCGCTGACATTGAGAGCGGCGCGGGCGCGCGGGGCATGCCGGGAGCGGGGCGGTGACGGCGGCAGCGGCCGTGAGGGGGATGGAGCGCCCGGCTGCGCTGGGGGACGGCGGCGCTGGATGGGACGGCTGCAGGGGCGCTCGGTGGAGGTGGTTGATGCGGACGGGACCCGGGGGCAGTGGTGGGGCGGTGGGATCGGCGGTACCGAGCGGTACCGAGCGTGTGGGGTCGTGTCCCGCTGTGCTGTGACCGATGACCGGCCCAGCCCCACCGTGAGAAGCCGAGTCGCTGAGGTCAGGGCTGTGGGAGGAATGACACCCTCCCAAGAAGGCAGGTGCATTTGCGGCAGCCGTGCCGTGCCGCTGGGGAAGCGATGAGCTGGCAGAACTAACTAAAAGGAAACTATTTAACTCAGAGCAGTCTTTTCTTCCTTTTTTTTTTTTTTTTTTTCCTTCCCTGCCCTTCTTCTCACTGCCTTTAGATAGCCCAGAGATAAAAGAAGAAGTTCTCAGAAAGGACGATAGGCTCCTCACCTTGCTCAAAGATGTTTATGTCGAGTCCAGAGATCCACCGGTGCAGGTGAGTGCATCTCTGTACGAGCCATACCAAGATCAGCTTTGTGGTCTTCAAACTCAGCACAAAGGCTGTGTCAAGAAAAATGCTCTCTGTGCATAAAAGCTACCTTTTTCCAGTAGATAAAAGTGGTATTTTTATTAGTCTTCTATACATCAATAACATTGAGTATGTCTGACCCTGGGTTTTGAATGTGTGACAGATTGTAATTATACAAGCTTGTAAATGCTGACACAGGCTTCCTTTTTAGTATTGCATTGATCTTGCTGTTTTTCACCTAAATTCCTATTTCTGCTTCTATGAGGCAAGATACATCTCAAGCCTTTTTCAAAAATAAAGTAGTTTGCCATAAATCATTTGTGGAGTTAGAAAAGGCTGGGACTGCTGGGGAGCAAGGATGTGGTAGAGGACAAAGATGTTTATGCTTTAATGGAGTCTTTCACTCCATTAGATGTTGTACAGTGCAGAGACTTTTTTTTTATCCAGCTCATGAAGTGCCTTAGGTTTTTTCCCACATAATCTTGTGGGTTGTGTGGTCATTATTTCCTTATTGCCACTGGCTGCAATCTTTTACTTGAAAGCCAAAGCATACTCCTTCATAAAATGCAGACTGGGGCTCAGTGTCCTCTTTTCCATCATATTTTGCTGTGGTTTGTGTGTTTTACCTGTTTCATTATTGGACCACTTTATTCCAGCTGATTTATTCAGCAGTAAAATTTTTATAGTCATCTAGCAAAATTCGTAAGTCTCTCTAATTTACCACTTATATGGTATTCAAGTCCAGAAATATTTAAAATGCAAATAAGATTTTCTCAGTCTCTTCCTGAAATTTTCAAGAAATCTCTATCATTAATTTCCATCACAGAGGTTAGGACTCTGATCTTGAAGTGTAGAAGGTCTAATTTCAGTATTTTTCAATATTCATGTATAAACCTGTCAGGAGAGATTTGAGAAAAAGCCCAAAGTGGAACAAATCTTTGCTTGATTCCATGCCTACTCTGAGTTTGCTGCCACAGACTTGCCCTTGTGCTGTATCTGCTTGCGGTTTTTAGAGCACAATTGAAGTGTAATCACAGACTTGTGGATAAAGCAATACAAACACTTCCTCCCATTCCTGATGTTATCCTGATGACTTTGTGCATTATGTACATGATGCGTACACACCTCTGTGTATGTTTGGGGTGTCTGCCTGTGGTAAGTGGAAAAGAAGCCCTGAAATGGCAGATTCCCAGAGACAGATGATCTAATTTAGAGTTGAAAAATCATTCATTATCCAAGCACAGTTTTAGCAAAAGTAGAAGACATGGAGTACAGGTCAGACATTCCTTGTAGCTCAGAAACAGACACACACAGGTGCTGTAATATCCACATCAGTCTTCTCAGCAACTGAGTTAATAGAGAGTATCTGTGTAATAATTATTGCCTGTGGGCTCTAATTACTATATAAATACTTCTAAGTTTAAGAAAGGTTTAATTGTGCCTTTTTTTTTTTTTCAGTGTGATTCACTGATTAAATGTTACTAAAAAGAAATATGAGGAACTGAAAGCTGTTTTGGAGATTATTTGGAAATATGAAGGAACCTTAGAGAAGACACTTTGTGTGTCTACATGTTGCAGTAGTCATGGCAATTAAACTCCATATGATGCTGCAAAATAGCAGGAAAGCTTGTTCTCTCGACGGAGCAAAATGTGGAAACAAAAGGAAGGGGAGAGAGACTACATGAAAAAGTTTTCCAGTGGTATCACAAGGATATCGATTTGTTGTATGATTTCTTTTGTCCCTTCCAATGAATCAGTACCGAATATTAGGCTATCTGGATTTACATTGGCCTACCAGAATCTGTAGTCTGCCTTGTATAAAGGGCTGCCAAGCCAATACCACACTTAGAGTGCAGTGAATAGGAGTTTTTCAGCATTTGGTTGGGAGTTGACACTCTGTGTAGAATGGCTGTGAAAGAAGCTAGGCAGGCTAAGTTGTTTTTGAAAAAATGGGGAAAGCTAACAGGAAAAGCTAAACAGAAAAAATACTTAGAAAAGCAGCTTAGGTGCTACAGTATGCATAGTAAACAGAACTGCTGATGAGCTCTTTTTGTTTTCCTTCCCTCAATTAGGTAAAAGATGGAGGTGGTGAACATCTTCCAAGTAAACAGGAGGAAAAGAGACTTACAAAATTAGGCCACTTGGAAGGTCTAGATGTTAAGAAAGTTCCCAAAGGCAAAATTTCCCTTGTGGAGGCTCTGACACTTCTTAATAATCATAAACTTCAACCTCAAATATGGACTGCGGAGAAAATAGCAGCAGAATATAGTCTGGAACTGAAGGAGGTCAACTCTCTTCTGGAATTCTTCATTCCTTTTGCTGTGCAGGAATTTCCTAAAGAAACCAAAAAAGCCATACCAAGCCATAAACAAAAAAAGTTAACATAAAAATATTTGCCAAAACCTTTTGTGATCTCACTCGTGTCTTCATTTTACTCTCAAGTATATTCCATGTCTGGAAATTCTTGATAGCATGTCATCCAGCAAGGCTACTTCTTATGCCAATGAGATGTATTCAAGCAATTCCATTCTACATTGGATGGCTTCAGTGAAATGCAGCAACTAGTTTGTAAAACAGACTGTGACTAATTTGTGGTATGACAGCATGTCACACAGTTGTGATTACCCCATTCAAATGTTAGGAGTTCAGTTAAAGCATTTTACCTTAAAAGATTGCCTTTCTCAGCAGAGACTTCCTGGCCTGCAGATAAAGAGATGCTCTGTGGGTGTTGGCTCTGTAATTTCATGTTGCACTGTTCTTTCAAGGACTTGTTGTCAAGGTGTGTGTATATAACAAACAACTGTATTTCTTTGTATAAGAATGGAATGGTATTTATACTTTGTAAAGAATGTTAACCACAAGGGCATTTGGAAAATTCAGCTGTGTCAAACAAAATAAAAATGTGAAGCAAGAAGACCTCTTTCTGGTGCTGGAACAGAAATGGCTCATATGTAACTCCTCTTCTACTCTATTCTGATTTAGCTTAAATACCTGCACCTCTCCAAGTGCTGTTAATCAGGGAATTTGTAGAGTGATGATCTTCTGGCATAAGTCTCTTGCAGCAGCCCATGGCATCTGCTATATGAGGAACCATGCTTCATATTAATAGGTAGCCAGGACATGCAACTGGATGTACCAATTGGACCTACTAGTAGGACTTCTGTGAATGTTTGCCCATCCTGTTAACAACAATCCTTTCTCCCAGTGGAAGAAGTCTGATCCCAGTGTGGGCTAGATCAGGTCATGTTTACTCACAGCATACATCTTGACAGATGACACAAGGGTGACACAAACTGTGAGGTAGTGGTGGATTTTAACACTGATACTGTGACTAATTATGTCTGTGTAGGTAAGTTTTGCACTGATGGTTAATCCTATAGTGAAACATGGTCAGATAAGCTGGGGAGATGGGGCAGCAGATAATCAGAATTGATATTTAAAAATGCATTATGGTTGCCTTCCTTTAAAAAACAAACCCAGAATCTTAATTTTATGCCTGTCACCAAAGATGGTGAATTTAAAGGGTATAAGTCAGTGTCTTTCTGCCAAGTCTTCGATTTGGAGTCTGGTAAATGTCCTATCAAGAAGATGATCAGCTTTTCTATTTCACAGCAAGATTCCTTCACCTTCTTTGAGTTGGAACACGGTATCTCCAGTACAGTTTACCACAGTGTATTTGAAGGTTATGTTTGATTCATTTCTGAAGTACATAATGCTGTACGATAGTGGAAGATGACACTATGTGCATTGTATAAAAATTCAAAATTGTTAGTCTTTGGATGTGTGGCTTGTCATTTGTCCTCTAATACATGGGGTACAGAGCTGCACTCTGGAACTAATGCACCTGATTTATGTACCACATTAAGACTGCTTTGCACAAAATACTGTTTTACAAAATGTTATAACAGAAATACTTAATTGTTTGAGTACTCTTCATCCTAATGTAATATTTAAGGTAACATTCAGAAAGCAGCTGTGGAATGCATTTGGTACAGATACTATTGATTTCGAAGATGTTGCAATTTCCTGTAAAATTAATTTTATTATGGATTGAAGTTGATTAAAAAAACAGTACAACCAGCACCAGACAACAGTTTAACCATGCTCTTTGACCACCTTGATATGTATTTGGCAGCTTTTGTCTGCCGTCATGAAAAGTCTTGTGATGTGGCTGCACCATGAAACATGCTCTGTTTCACTTTATGGTACACTACTGTGTAGCTTACACCCTCCAGGAGCAGGCATGTACTTTGGGATGTTTGGTGTCATCACATTCAGTGCCCCAGCTATACCTTCAGGATAAAATCCTATCCACAGCTGTGATGATTGCAAAACTGTTCCCTGTTTCTGTGGACCTAGGATCTCTTCCTTAGAATATATTATCCACAGTGGGAAAGTAAATGTCCCACAGAAGAGTTGGTGTAGGGATCTGTCTCCCTGCAAGCAGGTGAACTTGTGGCCCAGAAGGCCTCTCTGGAGCAGGGTACTTCTCTGGCAAAGTTGTGTTCACCCCAGGAAAATTAGATGCAATGCCATTTGTCAGCACAGATTCTTCTGCTGGCCACCTGCCCCACCTGCTGGGCAGCGTCAAAACAGTATTACAAAGGTATTGCCAATGGTACAGGATCATGTAAAAATTTGTACCATTATCTATCCAAATCATCTGAGGTCCAAATATTTAGTTTTCACTGTGTCTTCTGATGTGGAGCATGTTAGATCCCCAAAGCTCACAAGAGTCAGGAATTCTTTCCTCTACTCTGGTGGGAAAGCCTGAACAATCTCTCCAACGCTACTATCCTGTCCCATGTAGGATACTGACCACAGCAATGTGTGTGTGCCTACGGTGTTCCAGTATGTATTTGAAGGTAATGCTGTCTTTAGGGTTGATGTATGGAACAAGACAATTTTCAGTATTGCATCTTCCTTTCTTCCAGTTTCAAGGGACATTTTACTCCTCAGTTATCTTGCCTGGTTACTAGTTTCTAATTGGAAGAATAATGGTATTTACACTTGAAATATGGTTTTGTCTGTGTCCCTTTGTGTCTATATCCCTCTACTGTTTGGCTGTCAGCTTAAGAAAGAAGTATTCTTCAAGCAACTGTGTTGAAGAGGTAATTATGGGGAATTTGTGGGAACCTGCAGTTCAGTTTTCAGGTACTTCTATGTGAAGAATTTTTCATGTCTCATTGACATGTATATGGTGAAACAAATTTAGTTCAGGTGGTTTTGGCCGCCATGTAGAAACATTACATTTGGTAGGGAACAACCTGTCTCACTCAGACTGCTGTGTTATTACGGAATTAATGCAAAATGTGTTGCAAGTACTTTGTGAGCCTGCAAGGGATTTGTTTCATTTATAGTGTGGCACACGGCTGACAAACTTCTTATATGTGACATTATTATACCAGTCCTTCAAATATCACTGAGTAAACCCCAGGCCTCTTTGAGCACTGGTACAGAGTGAATACACAGGAGCAGGCTGAGTGTCATTTGATAATGAGGGTTACATTCCTGGCAAGTCATAAAATTTAATTTCTTCAGGGTAGTTTCAGCAGGTATACTGGAATTCCTGGCTTGAAATTTTTTGAAGAAAATTTCTTTAGGGGGAGTCAAGTAGCTAACTTACTCAGTTTTTCTTGGATATAGTCCTCTTTCTCTAGCCTTGTTCTGCCATTAAGTCTATTCCCAGCCTTCTGCAGCCAGTTTTTGCTGCCATGAAAACTTAATGCAGTTGTATTCTTTCTCTGTTCTAGATCACATGCAAATGTCGGTTGTATTCCGCCCTTTCAGTAACAACTTTTTATTTTTGCAGAGCTTTCTTGCCTTCTAAGAGTGGCACATCTGCTGAGGTAAAGATGAGAAGACAGTACATTTTGTGCTGCACAAGTTATGAATAGGACAGGTTTTCAAAAGGAATTTAGCTTTGACATCTTCAAAAGCTACTCTCTAGGGATATGTGAACCCAAGTAATCTGTCTCACCACATGTGTATTAATTATAGCTTGGTTCCTGCAGATTGATGGCAACATAGCAAGATTAGAGCTGTGAGGCAGGACTGAGTTTTAACTCTGCTCCCCATGCAGTTTAGTCAGGGGGACCTTCAGTACAAAACGTGAGTTTTTTGTAGCCTCCCAGCACAGGGAAAGCTGCCTTTTTTTGCTCAAGGAGAAAAGAAAGGTATATGTGTGAGGTGTATATTAAACTTACAAAATGGAATGTCTTATTTCTGTATTGAAAAAGCTCAAGTAGTCACACAACAAGATCAAAATGCTGAAGTTAAAAAAGGTGGCTGTCTCATTGTGTTACATGTGAGCATCATGCTTGCATGTTTGAGATTGCATGAAGCTTCACATTTTAGCTCCTTCTGAAGCCCCTTTATACAGGAGTTTCCTGGCTCTTAATCAGATGGTGCCACTGTTGAACTGACAGGGCACGCATGACCAGAGCAGGGGAGCTGCAGGTGCACACAGATTTTGGTACTTGAGACTGTAGCAAGTTGTACACCGACTGATGTGCTATTTTCAATCAAAACACCCCCTTGGTGCCTTTTATTAAATCTGTTTCCAGCAATCTGCAAGTCCAGTGAATTCTGTTAACCTTTCACAATTTAGGTACTGGTGTGTTGTTACCAGAGCAAACTATTGTCTCCTGAAAAAAATACACAAATCCCATGGATTAAATTCTCTTAGAAACTTAACACTCGTTTTCTTGGTCTGAAACAGAGAATGATGTACACAGCAGCAGTGGTAAGTAACAGCAGCACATCTCTTGTATCGTGCTGGAGGGAGAGCACCGTGGTACTCTTGTGCCTCTGCAGGGTAGAATGGAATTTGATGTGTCTGCCACCAGGAAAAGAATTTAAAAAATAAGTCTGCCAAGGTGGTTCTTTTGTGACTGTTGTGCAAAATCTCCTTTCAGTGTGGGTTACTGCAACTGCAGAAGCTGTTTTTAGGTGAGATGTTTTGGCCTTCTGAGAGGAGTAGTGCTGCACTGCCCTGGAGGGAAGCAACTGGGGCCAGACAGACCCCACAGTTATCTCCTATAAGGATTCCCCACATGGGAATATAAAATGCATGAGTGGCATGAGGTCACTGTTTTTAGTAAGCTGAGGAAAGTGATGGTGTGTTTGCATGAATCTCTACTTTTACAAAAGTCATTCAGTGGCACCCACACCTGAAAGCTGGGATCACACAAGGACTGAGGAATCCCACTGCTGAGTGGGATGAGTTACATGTGGTGCTGGTGAAAGCTAGAGTCAGTCCTGCCAGGGCTGCTGGAACTGGAAGCCTGAGTGTAAAGTCACAACTGGAAGCACACACAGCTTGGGGTCTGGAGAAAGGACAACAGCGCTGGTAACCTAGGTGCTCTGGGAGTGCAGAGCTGGTTATAATTGCCTGTGTTGACAGAGTGAAAAGAGATAAAAGGGGAGTCTTTGAGACATTTTCTCTGACCTGAAGTATGCCCTTTTGTTAATTGCACAGGGCTTTGTTCCAAAAAAAATCAGCACAGTTCGTGACTGGTTAGCAACATGTGGAGTGTGAAGTAGAGGCAGAGCAATTAAAGTAGGGGCAGAGCACAGTAAGCCTGGATGGTCAGATCCTTGTTCAGCTGCCACATGTACAGGAGTCGTGCATTGCATGTCACCCTTCCTTGCCCTCTGTCCCAGCCTCTGGGGTTCACAGCACAACATTGTGCCCTAAAGGATGCCACAGGCTTGATGGTTAGGTGTCCCCTTGTAAAGTGAGGCTGTGGATTTGCATCCCTCTTAAGGTCAAGCAGAACTGAATGTTAGGTAGAGCCTATCTCAGCAGTCTCCATGTCCCCTAAAAGCTGGAACCTATGTATCTCAGTTGCATAATTCCTCTACACCCTGAATTTTCATCACAACTAAGCATATCAGGGCTCAGGTCCCTAT